GGAGCTGGTCTCTTCGCCCGAGATAAAGACCCTCTGGTAGTAAGGAACATAATCCGCCTCATCCACCTCGAACTCCGGGTCCTCGTGTTCGTCCAGTGCCGTTTCGGAGGGCTCGTAGCGGGACGTTCGTTCGGCCACTCTGTAGGGTGAGGGGCAATAGTTAGGGGCCTTTCGAGGGCGGGGATATGGATACGGATTTGTCTAAGCATGGGTCATGGTCATGCAATTTGGTTGAGTTCTGTGTGTGTGCGTACATATGCATGTATGTGTATAAATATAAATAAATATATATGTATATGTATATATATGCACGTTTGTGTGTGTGTGTAAAGGCTATTAATTGACGCCTTAAACATTGGTTGCAGGAGTAGTAATAGGGGACGATGGCTTAACTCTTTATTTTCTAAAAGTACAACACAGAGATATGAACACCAACGAGCCCCGGGTCTGGGTTGATGCAAGGCTCGGGACCTGTCCTGACCAGTCCCCGTGCGGGCACTGATTCTCTGACCGGGTCAAATGTGGGAATTAAATACCAAGGAGGTGCGCGGGGGACGCCCCTGGGCTGATGGTTCTTTTCTGGGGCTCGAGCCACGTGGCAAGCGGCAGCCACGTGGTCCTATACGTGCTATGTACACAGTATATTGCTCGGCCACCTACTAACGCCTCGCCCTCGTAGCGCCTTAGACTTGCCTCAAGGGTGACCCAACTTGGATGGTCCTTACTTGCTAGTCCTCGATCTCGCGTGCGGTGTCCCTGGTGCATCTTCGTGGCTGCTTGTCTTTGTCGTCATCCTGGTCCCTGGTAAATCCGTCCGTCCTCGACATTCACACGTCCTCGAAGGTCTCGCACAGGTCATCCTTGACTTCGGATTCGTCCAGACTTCCTCGTAGTCCTCGTCCAGGCCTAACTCGGCGGCTTACTCGTCCAATGCAAGGCGGTGCCCGTCCACGAGTTCCTGGTCCTTCGCTGGATCTACGGGCGTTCGGGCAGGCGGCGCCCTTCCACATCCTGGGCGGCATGATACTTGCTCTGACGAACATCCTGGTCTCCAGGCTTCTGGCGATCTTCCACTATGATAAACCAGTGACGTTTTATCATAGTGTCCGAAGGTGACCGTTTCTGCAGCAGGGCCTCCTTCGGTGCCGTGTCAGATATCGGAGAATCAGATTATACATATAAGGGCCAAGATAGTAAGAGAAAAGAAAGACAACAGAGAAGAGGAGGTGTTAAGCGCCACTAGCCGATTATTTTTATAATTTGTAGTTTTTATGGTCGAATTTTCGTTATTTTCGTCTTTTTTTCATTTTGTGTTTTACGTTCACAAAGTTAAAGAAAATAGGAGAGGGAGACGGTAGTAGCGTCCACAAGGACTATCTTGAATTACCAACCCATTCCTTGATAGATGCGAAAATAAGTAAGGGAAACGGCAATTGGAAACCCTTGGTTTACTTGAACCATTGTCGTAACAGAAAAGAAAGTATGTAAAATAAGAATTCATGTACGTCACACATCACGACTGACAAATCCGCGGGCAAAGAGATACGTCATAGATCTTACGCCTGCAATTACGACAGCAGCAAACCCTATTAATGAAGGTTTCAGTGTCATTTGTTCTGCGTCGGTGAGTGCGTGAGCGTGTGCGCGTGTGTGTGTGAGTGACAGTGAGCAGAAATGACAATGAGAGTGAGAGTGACCTCACACAGAGCGGAAATGTAGCCAAACACGGAGAATAAAGTTCATTTTAACAATAATGCGACTAACTAGTTATAAACGTAATACAAAATTATTTCAACTACCATATTGAATTTAACATTTAATGATATGCGACAGAATGACGCACTAATGAATGGCGAGGTGAAAATTATTTGCAAGCTCTTTCGCGAACAAATCTTCTTGGGGACAATTTGCCGAGGTAATTTGTCTAGCTGTACATGCAGACTTCATTGACGGGGGGTCTGTACCCAAAAATACCCTACTTTACGAAGCGAAACGAGCTGGGGAAATTTATAAATAACCCATTCTATCTGTGGATCTATGATGGGCGCTCATGAAATGCCCTACGGGGATTTATGAATCACAAATCAATGGGATTAACCCAAACATGCCAGCGACGTGCAAAAGTGTGAGCAGGGTGTGATTAATAAGTGAATCATGAATCAAACTTAAACCCTAGTCCTACATTAGTTTTACGGACGTAAATTGTGGGTCACATCGGCTCAAAATTTGCCGCGCGTATGAATTACTTTGGTTACCTATACCTACTATCATTATGTCGGAACGCGGGTCTGTTACGCATAAACGCAACCCCAGGGTAATCAGGCACTCTGACACTATGATATGGGCAAGAATCCCAGGCACTATACTCAAAATTAAAATTGTATATGAATCGCGTTACAAGCTCTGCTCTAGCGCCGAAAGAACGTATCACCAACGAATATGTAACGGTTGCTATGCGTTATCCCTATATTGTAACAATTATAGAAAACAATTAAAAGGGGATGGCCAGCAGTTTTCTCAGCCATTTCACCGTGTCAATCACTCAAAGTGAAAGTGAGGTCAGATCTGCCCAGCTGTTTAGCCGGGCTTCTGAATAATTATTTTTATTCAGAGGTCAGGTCGAGACGGGAAATGGGCATGAGAAAAGAAATGATGAGTGATGTTCATGAAAACGTTAAAACCACGAACGCGCTAAATTCGTTGCAATTGAAACAATATAACTCTCTAATCACGAGAAAAAAGAGATACTTAATAAATGAACGATATATTCATAATGCTTGACTCCATACCATTTGCTGCCTATTAGCACTTTAACCCAAAACCCTACGTGAGCCTGACTGCACATACGGCTTAACACATTTATGGGAGAAGATAGAGAAAGCAAGGTGAAAAGCCCAAACTGTGTTGAAGGTGTCATAATGGTAGCGATTGAGCGGTAAATCGGAGACTGTGTGAGCTCTCGTGCGAGCTTAAAAGACGCACGACCACCTCTGCCACCAGAATGTAAAGGCTATTGATTGACCTTAAACATTGGTGAATAGCAGTGATCGTTAACGTAAGTACGGCTCACAACACAGTGATGGACACACACGACTTCTGTGGGTTAAGGCGCGGGAAGGTCACGGCGGTCAGCCCCTCAGGGAAGAAGTGACCGACCGACCCGTAGGCTCGGAACCTGTCCTGACCAGCCCTCGTGCGGGCACTGACTCTCTGACCGGGTCAAATGTGGGCCTTACATACCCAGGAGGTGCGCAGGGGACGCCCCTGGGCTGATGGTTCTTTTCTGGGCCTCGAGCCACGTGGCAAGCGGCAGTCACGCGGTCCTCTACGTGCTATGTACACAGTATAGTGTGTGTGTGTGTGAGTGACAGTGAGCAGAAATGACAATGAGAGTGAGAGTGACCTCACACAGAGCGGAAATGTAGCCAAACACGGAGAATAAAGTTCATTTTAACAATAATGCGACTAACTAGTTATAAACGTAATACAAAATTATTTCAACTACCATATTGAATTTAACATTTAATGATATGCGACAGAATGACGCACTAATGAATGGTGAGGTGAAAATTATTTGCAAGCTCTTTCGCGAACAAATCTTCTTGGGGACAATTTGCCGAGGTAATTTGTCTAGCTGTACATGCAGACTTCATTGACGGGGGGTCTGTACCCAAAAATACCCTACTTTACGAAGCGAAACGAGCTGGGGAAATTTATAAATAACCCATTCTATCTGTGGATCTATGATGGGCGCTCATGAAATGCCCTACGGGGATTTATGAATCACAAATCAATGGGATTAACCCAAACATGCCAGCGACGTGCAAAAGTGTGAGCAGGGTGTGATTAATAAGTGAATCATGAATCAAACTTAAACCCTAGTCCTACATTAGTTTTACGGACGTAAATTGTGGGTCACATCGGCTCAAAATTTGCCGCGCGTATGAATTACTTTGGTTACCTATACCTACTACCATTATGTCGGAACGCGGGTCTGTTACGCATAAACGCAACCCCAGGGTAATCAGGCACTCTGACACTATGATATGGGCAAGAATCCCAGGCACTATACTCAAAATTAAAATTGTATATGAATCGCGTTACAAGCTCTGCTCTAGCGCCGAAAGAACGTATCACCAACGAATATGTAACGGTTGCTATGCGTTATCCCTATATTGTAACAATTATAGAAAACAATTAAAAGGGGATGGCCAGCAGTTTTCTCAGCCATTTCACCGTGTCAATCACTCAAAGTGAAAGTGAGGTCAGATCTGCCCAGCTGTTTAGCCGGGCTTCTGAATAATTATTTTTATTCAGAGGTCAGGTCGAGACGGGAAATGGGCATGAGAAAAGAAATGATGAGTGATGTTCATGAAAACGTTAAAACCACGAACGCGCTAAATTCGTTGCAATTGAAACAATATAACTCTCTAATCACGAGAAAAAAGAGATACTTAATAAATGAACGATATATTCATAATGCTTGACTCCATACCATTTGCTGCCTATTAGCACTTTAACCCAAAACCCTACGTGAGCCTGACTGCACATACGGCTTAACACATTTATGGGAGAAGATAGAGAAAGCAAGGTGAAAAGCCCAAACTGTGTTGAAGGTGTCATAATGGTAGCGATTGAGCGGTAAATCGGAGACTGTGTGAGCTCTCGTGCGAGCTTAAAAGACGCACGACCACCTCTGCCACCAGAATGTAAAGGCTATTGATTGACCTTAAACATTGGTGAATAGCAGTGATCGTTAACGTAAGTACGGCTCACAACACAGTGATGGACACACACGACTTCTGTGGGTTAAGGCGCGGGAAGGTCACGGCGGTCAGCCCCTCAGGGAAGAAGTGACCGACCGACCCGTAGGCTCGGAACCTGTCCTGACCAGCCCTCGTGCGGGCACTGACTCTCTGACCGGGTCAAATGTGGGCCTTACATACCCAGGAGGTGCGCAGGGGACGCCCCTGGGCTGATGGTTCTTTTCTGGGCCTCGAGCCACGTGGCAAGCGGCAGTCACGCGGTCCTCTACGTGCTATGTACACAGTATAGTGTGTGTGTGAGCGCGCGCGAAGAGTAATAAGTAATGTATATATATATATATATATATATATATATATATATATATATATATAT